AAAATGTAAAAAACTTTTTTAAATGCAATTTCAAATTTAATGTGTGAATTATTTAAGTTTGAATGCATATAAATTTAAATATGTAAAAATTAGTGCTTTAAAGGCACATTTCAGTTGTTGTTTTGTAGTTAAATTATGTTATATATTATATTTAACACTAATAGGTAATTTGTGAACTTTATTATATTTACTGAAAGGGTAAATATTGTAAATCCCAGTGGTTCAGTTGCTTTAATGAACAAGGCAAGGCAAGTTTATTTATATAGCACATTTCATACACAATGACTTCAGAAAGATGGCACCATCATAATCATCATAATGTTATTTTTTACACAGATTAGTAGGTCTGTTAGTCAAATATGTTGACTTTAGCAATCTTTGTTGCATTATGTGCCAATGGTGACCATTCAAAAAAAAAAAAATTTTACTACTTTTCTTTTAAAGAGGACTGTCTGAAGAACAAATAATGTTGAAACTAGAAATGTATCTTGTTTCCTTCTGTCCAAACACCTGCATTGAACATACCTTTCTGAGTGCCATAAGTATTATTTTTCCAACGTTTGTGTGCCTATAACTCAAGAAATATTAAATATATTGCAATATGATTTAAAATTCTAGTTCTTAATAAACTTTTCTTTTTTAATCTTCATTTTCAAGGCCGTACATTGTTCAGTCCCAGAGATATGGGGATGTCAATGAGGCTCTGTATTCAGATTGTTGAATAATAACCATTTTGGGTGGTCACTTTGTATACAGCCGATACTTATTTTATTTAAACTAGAATATGTGAAGAGTAAGTAATGTTAAAACTAGAAATGCATTTTGTTTTTCTCTATCAAAACAATATGCATAGACATACCTGTCTGAGTGTCATAAATATTATTTTTCCGAAATTTGCGTGAAGTAGTATTAAAGTTGTCTTCATATGATTTTAGATTCTGGTTCCTAAGAAACTTTTCTTTTGTAATCTTCATTGTTAAGGCCTTGTATGGTTTAATCCTAGAGATATTGAGATCCCAGTGCAGCTCCACGTCCAAATTGTTGTATCCTACCCATTGGCCACAAATATGGTTTTGTGTTTATCTACTCATCACTGTTGACACGGTCAGATATGCAAATAATAACATTAACCCAGGGTTTAGGAGTGTACAGTGTGACACATCAGATTATGAATCACCAGGATTAATTGTTAACTCTATATGTGGTTGTGATACCACATATCTGAACTCTTGGTAGCTTCAACAAAATCCTTTCTTCCAAATATTCCTAAAAGTGATTCAAATATAGAGTTTTATTATGAATAGACTACAGAGAGCAAGGTAATGTGCCTCAACTTCTCCATTTCAGTGCATTTTTAACACTCAGGTGTTTTATACATATTGTTTTGATAGAGGGAAACAGGATACAATTCTAATTTCAACATTATTTATTCTTCAGACATTGTTCTTTAAATAAAATAAGTATCGGCTGCATTCAAAGTGACCAACATTTGGTTTTCAACCACTGAAAATGGGTATTATTCAACAATTTGAATATGGAGCCTCATTGACATCCCCATATGATCATCTTGTGCCGCAGTTTCTCCAGAGCATCACTGCCGTTTGAGATCAGCTCTCTGATGAACACCTAACACAGCAAGTGTGTGTCAGAAAATCACTGAGTCTATTACATGAAGTTGCAGTCTGATTCATGTATTTATTTCAGGTTTCCTACACATTTTACATTTCAAAATTCCATACTTTTCAAGACTCAAATTTCCAAACCTCTCAGTAGATTTTCAGACCATATTTAACATAAATGGTTCATAGAGCATTATTTTCAGCAGGCCCGTAGCGGGGGGTTGCGGGGCCCTGGTGCAGGTTGTA